CCGCCGGAGGAGGACCTCCGGCTGCCCAGCCGCGAAGGCTCCATCGAGGAGAACTTCTTGCAGTTCCTGCAGGGGACAGGCTGCAACGCGGAGAACAGGAACGTTCTCGCTCCCCCCTCCCCCAAAAGGGAGCCGCCGGGCGTCGATTTCCGAATCCCCGGGCAGATTGCAGAGGAGACCTCGGAATTCCTCGACCAGCACCTCATGGTCTCCGACAGCTACATCCGGGCTGCGCCCACGCCCGAGCCGTAGCAGCCCTTGTCTCTGTGACGTGCGGAGAGAGGCAGTGCCCAGCTGTCGACAGGGCACGACTTCCTAATAAACACACCCAGAGCGACTGACGCGTCCTCCCTCCACCTGAGCGCCCACGCTGACAAGCAGCTGCTTCTGGGGGCTGAGTCGCGGTGGCTGGCTAAGATCAATATCGTAGCATTTCTATGTTGTGTCCCTTTCTGATTTGGAGCAGAAACAGCCTCTGGGGTTAAAAATTCCCTGGATTTTCCAATTTGCCCCGGGTAAGTGTCCAAAAGGCCTGGCTCGATGCGGGGGGCTGGGCTAGCTGATCTCTTGCGGCCCCTTCCAGCTCCAGGTTTCCGAGTCTATGAAAAGTGTTGATGTTGGGGTCTCTAATTCAGAATCAAATAGTGTGATCAAAGCCCAGGAGGCGGTGGTCGAGTTGGGCTCCTGCTTCGAGGAGGCAGCTGAGGTCCTGACTCCTGAGGTCTTGGCCGGCCCTAACTGTCGATGATTCTGTGACGGCCTCTTACCCCTTTCGAAGTTGCTCCTCGCGGAAATGCCGGCACCTCGCCTGCCCCGGCTCTTCCCCTTGCGGCCCCACTCTGCTCGGCTTATTTCCCCGAGGCCCTGGCTCCATCCGCTCCTCTGTCCCGCCCCCTCCCATCGCTCGCTGCTTTGCCCCTTCCACCAGGATGGGAGCCCCCAGCGCAGTGAGGAGGCGGCCCCGGCCGAGTCGAAGCTGGCGCAGGTCACAGTGACCAGACGTCATTGTCACTTTCCGGTCAGAAACCAAGCACCCGGCTCCCCAGTCCCAGTAGGAACAGGGGAAAGGTGGGACCCCTCCCCGCCACACCCCCGACCCGAGGTCCCTTTCAGCAGCTCGTAGCTGGGCCGGGGCCAGGCGCGCCGGAGCCAGGGGTCAGCGGAAGGCGCAGCGGGAGAGCAGAACCAGGCCGAGGGAGTGGAGCTGAGCACGGGGCCTGTGAGCAGGCAGGGCTCCGGGTGTCCTAGGATCCAGCCCAGCCTCCTGCCCTGCACACCCTGAACACAGCCCAGGCTTCCTCCCTGCAACAGCCCAGGCCCTGAGCTCTGGCTCAGACGCCTCCAGTCTGCTGCTGTGTTGGTGACGCCTGCCCGGGGGCGGGGCACAGGCTGAGATCCACCGTGGGTCTCTTCCCCATGCCCCAGCTGGGCCCTATACTTTCCCACCCTTCTCCCGCCCTGGCCCCCGTTGCTGCTCCACGGTCCAGGACAGTGGTTCCCAGCTTTTTTATACTGCGGACTGGCAAACCCAGTTGCAAACTTTGGTATACTTGCATTTGCATATTTGCATATTAATTATGCAAATGACAAATATGCAAATGTGCAAATAAAATGTTACCGGTCTGCCAAAATATGTGCGCCAGCCCCCACAAACAGCCAGCTTCAGCG